TGCAAATACATGTAGATGCACCAATATATCATTCAATATGGGACAATTATTCATTGATTAGAAATTGCCTCATTCAGACTGATGATTACTCAATGTGTTGAGACTACGAATATCTGGAAGAATTTTGAAATAGAGTCAAGTCGAAATTACATTAGAGTGGAGTCTAAGTTGGTAGCTTGTGAAAACTGTGATTGGTTAAAATGAAACTTTTGAATGAACTATTGGGAATTTGTTCTTTCATAGAAATTTTCAAATTCAAAATAGATTTATTGAAGAATTTCGAATAAGTTCTGAGTGGAACATTTATGTGTTGTGTCTGAAAAAAACGCAAATCCGAGTTCGAAATTTGCCTGAAGGTATAAAACATGTAGATGCAAAACATGTAGATTTTTTCTTGATAAATTGCTTAAAAAATAATAAATTTGTTCACCTGGGAAAGAAGATGTGCGAACGATCATTAAAAATGAAACGATAAGTATGATTGTTCTAGAACGACTGAGTTGTTGCATATGGATATGATAAACGAGCAAATCTTAACAGTAGAATTAGGAATGGTGATTTGATTGAGATAAAACAGAGCTGATTGTACTGATCGATGATTATATAGTTCTGTAATGAAATTTATAAGAGAGTTAATTATTATACCACACAATATTATAAACTGTTCAGTGAATTCAGATTGTTGAATAAACGATGATAAATTGATACACTTATAGAGACAGATATATTAGACACACAGTAGTAAGAATCCGTCTTGAATTAAGCAGCAAATGGGAGGTGATGTCGCTCTATATATGTGTACAGAAACAAATAGGTATATATCTATGTGCATGTTTATAGAAGCGTGTATATGTGCATTCGAGTGCTCTTTCAGTAGTCAGTCATTAGCATTCAGATCCAGCATTTGCCTATCACGATTCGGTCGTGTCCAAAGGTTGACTCAGGGATGGATGGCTAATCTAACAGATACATTAAGCTGTGATTCAAAATGAATCTTACAAATACATGTAGATGTATCCAGCACCCGCGAAATAACTTTAACTATACTTCGATGATATCAAATTATCTTCCTAACAGTGCTTGACGAAAAGAATAGTTAAGAACATATTTTANGTGAAGTACATGCATACAAGTAGTTGAACATCTTAAAAAAAGACAAAAGAAGACTGTGCAACTCTTTGTACACGAATGCAGTATGGAACACATCAGCACGCAAAATAAAATGCATTCTGATCACGAATCCAGCTTCAACTAACAATTATTAATGTAGCATCTAATAGCTCTCACAAATATTCTACAAAATCATTCTTTTCACAAGCACTAACAATCACATGCATTTTTTTTCAATCCAACTGGAAATTCTCACGTTATGATTATTAAATCGTTTTCGAAACTCAATACTCCACGGAAATATTCTTTTATTATTTTGTTTTTTGGTTTTTTTCAAAAAAAAAATTATTATTGTTCATTATTTGCACAATGGATTAGCTACTGAAGCCCCTAGTTATGTTGGTTCTAGTTCATATGGCTTCCACGATTTGAAGAATTGATGCTGAGATTGATATTCAGAAAAAAAAAACAGAATACTCTCAAGCATTATCCATATAGCCTTGTGACATGCATGCAAAACAGCTTTACTACTAACGTGTAAAATGATTTGATTAATGTTATCGAATTATCTAACGTAAGTGAGCTAAGTTCATTATCATCATTGTTCCTTTTGATCATTACACTTAATCTTGTCATTCATGAATATTTTCAATAACATTAAAATTTAGTATTACGATTATAAGTTTATAATCAATAAAAACTGAGTTTCAGTTGCTGAACTAAAGTATTATATAGGCAAAAACCGCAACGAATCTTTTGCTTTTTGCTGAGTACTCGGAAAGAAAGAAATTGAAGTCAAAGATTCATCAGTTTTTATATTATATGTCGAATGAGAAGTATCATTTCACGTTCTGTTGACGAATATTCAGTTTTTGTTTCAAAGTACTTTCTCGTTCATTCACATTCATCTAGAACTCATTCATTTATTCAATTCAAGTAGTTTTATTCAACCTTTTCAATTAGTCATTCAAGTGATTAATTAATTGATTTGAAAATGGCACTAGAAAGTAAGTAGAAATAAACAATAATCGAAATAAACGTTCTCACTACCCTAAAATGATGCAAAAATGAGTTCTCATCAATTGATCATCGGGCTTTTGAACTGTCTAAATTTCACAAAACTGATAATTGCGTTATTGTTTTAAATGTGCGAATAATAGTACCTTTACGGTGATTCACTTTAGCTCAATTGTCTTTGTGGACGTGCACTCAAACATGTAGAATCTGAGCTTGAAAGTCTAAACTTTCGACTTATGCTTGTAGCTAGTACAAGTTCGGAATGTTGATACGATATTCAAACAATTTTATTTGGTTCTTCATACGAATTCAGAGATATATCACTTACAGCATTTGATAGCAAAGTTTTTCAGTGTATCAGCGGTACAGCCAAATTACGATAAATTTTTGTGTTTGAACATTCAGTTTGAACCTTTATAGAGCCAGCTTTTGGAAAGTTTTTCGACAAATTTCTAGTTTTGTAAGCGAAGAGAAACGATGAATGCGAAAACATTTCAGAAATATCGAATTATAGCGTTAATAGATAGGTTCGTGATGAGATCCGATCCTTGTATGTGCATCATCTAGACAACTTCGATCTTTTCGATTAACTAATTTAGTCACTGATGTCCTAGCACGTTTGAACATCCTGTTTAAATTTGTTTGTTTATGTTTAACTATCAGTAATAAATACAGAAAAAAGCAGTTCAATCAGTTTTCAGTTATTCTATTTGTTAAGGATAAATTGATGATGTCTATTTCGATTAAATCCATAATTTCAATGTTACGAACTGAACATATTAACAAAGAACCACGCAAACGCTCAATAAATCTGAATTGTTTTGACAGTTTGCCGATGATCAACGGTTTAGTTTCATATTTGTTTTGACCAACTCGAAGTTTGAGCTAAAGGTACTGAGTCGAAAATCTTCAGCTCAAACACTCGTTTCTCACACCAACCTGAATATCAAGCAGTTTGTTCAGCTACTATTTGTCTAGCACCAACTCTAGGTTAACATTCCACTCTGTCTACTTCCACTAACTGTCATTCATTTAACTTAACTCTAGTCAGCTGGTTGTTGTTGTTGGCATGTAGGTGGCAAGATGGTATATCTGAGTGTGCGTGTGTGTGTCAGTGTGCATCATAAGTGATTTTGTGTGTCAGGTGAGAATCAGGCTCGTGTATAGGTTAGCGAAGACTGAGGTTCAAGCTAAAGCCGAGCGTAATGCTTAAATTGACTGCTAAACTTTTCAACCACTAAAAACAAGCGTACGCCACAATAGTTTTAAGTTAGAGCTTAAGAAAAGCATCATCATTATAATCATCCGCTATTATCGCACACTTACTTGCTTATCATCCTTCCCCAACTCGCATCGCGCAAAACATTAACAATGCTAAACGGACGTAACAAACTAGCGTGCTGCACTGTCAGGGTATTTTCATTTATTTATTCTCTTTTCACATCTTTCACCCCTCATTTCAGCGGAAAATATCATTCCTTAGCACTAATTTTCTTTCCATTATCGAGCTCTTCATTTGAATTTCATTCAATTGGAATTTGTCTAATTTGGATTGTTCAGTATAGAACGTACACCATATGCCATACGTCACAGCTCTAACAAAATGATTAGTCAATTACGTATGCAGATAATGCATTACTATTTTAATGACTGCAAAATATTGGAATTGCGTAATCCAGTCAAAGGATGAACGAGGCGAAAGGAATTTCTCAAAAAAAGAAAATTCAGTTGTTCAGTCATTGAATATGGTGCAGCAATCAAGATTAATCGATAACAAGATTAAAATGAATTTTTGAGAAGTAATTGGGCTGTTTGGTGGGAACTGTAAGCGCATCAGTCATAAGAGAGGATCGTTTTTGGCTCGAGTACCTCACGTGAACAAAATTTTTGATGTCGAGAATGAGGAGAGCCTTGAATCATAAACTGAGCTGAAATTTCACAAAACATTGTTTTCGCTTTCAGACAGCCGGTATCTTAGTAGCATTTGTTGAATTTCTCCTATGTGTTCTATCATTATACGGTTTGGTGAGAAATTTGCACATTTTTGGTCCGTCATATTTCTTGTGGTTTGTAATCGGTTAGTTTACATTTGACATTTGATAGTTATTGTTTTTTGTAATTGATTATTATCGTCTCATATGATGATGCGATCTGCATAACAACATAATGATAATAGCAGTATTGACCACAATGATAGTGCGATAATGATAATAATTTTGCAATGAACATTCGCTTTGTTCTGCTTTTTCAATGAATGCGTAGCATTTTGAACTAATCCCGCTTATGCGCATATAATCCGGTCAGACAGTTGGTGTTTAGTGGTTTATGTAGTTTGTTTTTTGTAAATGCTGCAAAATTCAACGATATAAATGATGATTTCCGTAAAAGATTAAGACATTTTAGAAGGTTAGGGAAGATTACTGAGAAAAGAAATTGAATTCACATATTTTTTACTAATTTTGATGATTATTATTGTGGTAATAATAATAATAATTTTGTTACTATAGGGTGTTATTATAATATGTTATTATAATGTGCCACAATTTAAGGAGTGGTGAGTGTGCTAATAATTCTATCGGTAATCATTTTATTGCTGTGGGCAATAAAATCCGATAATGCCCGATTATTGCTACCGCACCTTTTCGTGCAGGTTCATTTGCATATTTCTCGTTATTGTTATGATTTTGATGTCGCTGATTCATTGATTTGTTCGGTTAGCTAGCTGTTGAGTTGTGTGCGAGTTGGTCACATGAATAGATGCGATAAATAAGCTTGAATATGTTGGCACCTGTGAATTTAATGATTGTTTGTTTTGAATCAATCGATCGCATTGCCGTTGTGGATTTATGAATTACTGCGACACCTACATAGGTGGTCTAACGCACATCTTTGACTTATCAATGATTTTATCCTCAATGAGGCCGGCCGCCTTTCCACTGCGATTGAAATATCAAGACCGGAAAAGACGGGATTATGCATTCCCCAAGAAAACCGAACTTTTACCGCATTCTGGAAGGTGTTTTATGCTATGAAATTACTGGTTGACTATGAACAAAAAGTTGTAATAGCAATATGTTGAAATTACTTTCAGGTGTTCCTCATATTGTTTCTGATAATCGTCGCACTTGTCGTCTTCCTTTTGTTATTGTTTGGCGCATATCGCGGTATTCGACGTTTGCTTGGCCACGATGCATATCACATGAACGATGAATGTTTGTTTGTTCATCTATCAGTTAAATGCATCAACAATTTATCTACTAACTGTTAGTATACGCCGGCGTTTACAAGAATAATCAAGTAGACTGAACGGATTCAACATGAATATTTACTGTAGATTCACTTGCATTCTGAGTGCCTCTATTTAGTACAATAATCGCAACAAATATTTTTCGAACGCGAAAAAATGTAAAATCTATATTTTATCCTCGTTAAAGTAATAAAAATAAAAATGATAGTAACAGTAGTGATAATAATAATGATAATAGTAATAATAATAATAATAATAATAATAATAATAATATTATTATTATTATTATTATTATTATTATTATTATCATTATTATTATCACTACTGTTACTATCATTTTTATTT